CCACTCTTATTCATGGCCTGCAAAATACCATCTAATACAGTAAAGGTGTTTTGATTTTTTGTTTGGAATTAGTTTCACATGGCTTAACATTTCTTAGGTACTTGGACAAGCCCAAATCTTGTCATTACTGCTATTGCTTGGTTCTTCTTGGACATCCCTGAATCATCTCAAATTGATGCTCCTTAATGCAATGTTGCTTATTGCTTGGGTTACTCAAATCTTATCATTCTTAATTCATTATCTTATCGCTATTCTCCATGTGAACTGCTGCATCTCCATGAAAGTTGCATATGATCTTGGTTCCCTGTTGTTCAAATGGCGTAAACCTTAATAGTTATCTGATCTCATAGTACAGTTGGATAACTTTTCCAGAATTCATAGGGTGACTTTGAGGAATTAGAAACACAGTAACATTGTTCTTGTGAATTCAAAAATTTAGTCATTCGTCTACGTGCTATTCAATTGACCTAAATTGTGCACTTTGCCTGTGATATAGAGAAGAGCCTCCTCAAATATACATACATGAGATGGATGAAAGATACATTGGATCAGGTTCAGCTTCAAGCTCAAGCAATAAAACATAACTGCAAATGATATGTTTCAAACAAAGGTGATGGCTTACATCTTTATATGGAGTTCAGTTTTTACAATTTCTAGTTGAATGTATATGGTTAGCTGGCTTGCATATTAAATTCTCAATCTGCCTGCAACAAGAGTTGCAATGTATTTTTTGGGCCATTTGCATTGCATTTCAAAAATCAATGGTTTGAAGGATCTTGAGAGTTTCAATTTGGTCTTCTAAATTTTGAATCGGGCCATGCAATTATGAATAAAATTTGTATCTATCTTTCATCTCGGAGTTTGAGGAAGCACTTTGTCCTAGAAACAACTACCCAACTCACACATACCTTATGTATTCATCTTGTAGAAGAATGCAAGTAATTGTATGCTCGAGGCAACGATTGAANTGTGAATAAAATTTGTATCTATCTTTCATCCCGGAGTTTGAGGAAGCACTTTGTCCTAGAAACAACTACTACAACTACCAAACTCACACATACCTCATGTATTCATCTTGTAGAAGAATGCAAGTAATTGTATGCTCGAGGCAACGATTGAACAACAATGACCTTGGTGGACTCTGTTTAGAGACAAGTTGAAACAAGGGAAAGGTACATGACTGGCCACTTACAAGTTATAATTAAGTGATGGGTAGCACGAGGAATCAAAAGTTATTTTGTAGTGCTATTTGATCTTTTTTTTTTTTTTGACCAATGAGTATGGGACACACGTAAAGACGTCTTTATTTTATTGTTTTGATATATCATGTAGCCGCTATTTTATGACCTTTATCCTTATTAGCATAGTTTTTCTCAATTTNTCTAAGTTATAATTAAGTGATGGGTAGCACTAGGAATCAAAAGTTATTTTGTAGTGCTATTTGATCTTCTTTTTTTTTTGACCAATGAGTATGGGACACACGTAAAGACGTCTTTATTTTATTGTTTTGATATTTCATGTAGCCGCTATTTTATGACCTTTATCCTTATTAGCATAGTTTTTCTCAATTTGTTTAATGCATTTTGATCTCAAGTTATCAAAAAAATTATAAAAATGCTCATAAAATTTATAAATAACTCACAGAAATTATAAATTCTTTATTACAAAAATACCTATAAAAATTATAAAAAATATTCACAAAAATAATAAAAACTAGGGAAGTGGTACCCATTTTGTTTTTGGTATTTTAGTCTTCTCCCTATCATTGAGGGTGGATAATTAACTTGCATTGCTCTTTTAATCAACCAACCAGAACATCTTTACCGGGGCTAGTGCAAATGGAAAGTGGGCTATTGATAGCGTGTGAACTAAGCCTGTCCAAGTATCTACAGATAATGTTCGAATTGATTTTTTTTTTTTTTNTGGGCTATTGATAGCGTGTGAACTAAGCCTGTCCAAGTATCTACAGATAATGTTCGAATTGATTTTTTTTTTTTTAATATTGAAATTCGAATTTGACAAAAACAATTCTAATCTGAATTTAATCCGCATATGTGGGAAGCATTATTGTACCTCCACTTTTAGACCAATAAATATTTAAAAATTTTATATTTTATAATATTTTATTATTTTTTAATTAGTACTTGTAGATCATTTAATTTAAAATTAATGGCTGAAATTAATAGAGATATGGTCTTAGTGACTTAAAATTGATGGTTGGATTTATACTCTAGAATTCTCTATGAATTTGTATTTTTTAAAGTACATGAATTTGATTAATTCACGTTCTTATTTATTTATATGTTTATTTATTATTATTTAAATTTTTATTTGGGAAGTATTAATCCACACTTAAAGATACATATTAAATTGTAATAATATTTATAAATTTTAATTATCATTTTAAGACTTTTATAGTTAATATATTTTTAAATTAAATAATTTATCTTGTAGTTGTGCATGAAATTTTAATTTTTTATATTAAATTTTTATGGGTGATGCTTTAAAGATGATCCCTTTCTTTATTTTTTTTAAATGTTGAAATTTTTACGCTTTCGTTTCTGGTTTCTCCACTATTCTCACTTTATATGATCATAGTTAAAACTGTTAATCAAATTGAGTTATTTGAGTTTGGCTTGAGTTCAGTTTGAATTTGATTCATTTAAGCTTGATTCGTTTTTTAAATGTGTCCAAACTTGAACAAATTTTTAGATTTGTTTAAAGAACAAGTCTTACAAGCTCAATTTAAATTCAACAGATTTGATTCATTTATGTGTAAATTTTCAGGCTCAACTCGAGCTCGACTTGTTTTTGACTAATTCAGATTTGATTCGTTTTTTAAACGGACCAAAGTTGAACAATTTTTTAAGTTCGATTAAAAAATAAAATTTTCAAAATCGACTCAACCTTGTTTGACTAACTATCATTATCATAGTATCAAATTNTCATTTATGTGTAAATTTTCAGGCTCAACTCGAGCTCGACTTGTTTTTGACTAATTCAGATTTGATTCGTTTTTTAAACGAACCAAAGTTGAACAATTTTTTAAGTTCGATTAAAAAATAAATTTTTCAAAATCGACTCAACCTTGTTTGACTAACTATCATTATCATAGTATCAAATTCCGTACAATGACCTTATCGCGTATACATTATTGATTTTGACAATCAAATTTAATTGCCAATATGATTCTATCAAATACTCACTTCACTAATTCACTTATTTATATAATTATTTAATCAACACTTATTTATATAATTATTTAATCAAAGTCAAATTGGGAATCAAAATGTGGCTCATTAAAGGGGCGTAGTGTGCACTCGCAAGTAGGATAACATTTTTTTTGCACATGTCGTACCGGCGGCCTGTGCTCAGCGTCATTGTAACGCTAATCTAAAAATATCTCAACGCCCACTAATTACATCTAAATCTAACGGCTAAAAATGAATCCGGACTCCACCCTCTTTTTGTACTGATTTTGATAAAAACCCTAATCTCCGATTTCTACAATTCCCCCTCCCCACGCAGTCCTACTGAGGGAAAATGTCACATTACTCCCCATAATATTTTTTTATTCTCAATTCATACCTAAAAATTTAAATTTTTTTAAAAAATAATAATAATGATGTGATCCAGTTAAAGAAAATTTAGTACAAAAGTTCCATTGAAAACACTTAACATGCAATATTATGAAAATACTTGGGTATAAATATATAATAATATGATAAATGCAACAAAAAAAGAATTATTGAAAAAGACAACTAATATTTAGTTTTGGACTATACTTTTTATCTGATTAGGGGTGCAATATAAAACCTTTAATCTTTTGAGGGTAAAAATTTAGAATTTGAGAATCTTTTAGGGTACAAAATGTCATTCTCTCTCCTATTTAACACTACCATTATTGCACGCGTGCGTCAGGCCCCTCTCTCCCCCTCTCTCTCTCTCACTCTCACTCTCTGCTTTGAAATTGATTGCTCGTTCCTCTCTCTCCCTCCCTCCCTCCCTCCTCAGTTAACATGTCGGACGAAGAACATCATTTTGAGTCGAAGGCTGACGCCGGAGCTTCGAAGACCTTTCCCCAGCAGGCTGGTACTATCCGCAAGAACGGTTATATTGTCATCAAAGGCCGAGCTTGCAAGGTTGTGTTCTTTTTATTCCCGTCTCAATCTGTTTTTTTCATGTATATACATATGTGAATACACATATATCGTGCTTGACTTTCTAGATCTGCTATTTTAGGTTTGATTTGCTTGTGTTTATAGAGACAGGGAATTTTTTGTGATGATTATACGAGTTCGGTTTTCTGATTCTAGGGCTTTTGTTTATTACTTGATTGGATTCTAAAGTTTTGATATTACTGTTGCTCTTCTTTATGTTTGATTCACGTGATAAAAATAAGTTCTTTCCCTATTTTTTTTTAGATGTTTTTTTTTGGGTGCTTATTGCGTCTTTTTTCTCAATTTTTTTGATAGGAAGCACAATTTTATTAAAGGGTAAATGACATAGTACAAGATGAACACATGGATGGACAAGTCATCCATCCAAAATGCAATCCATCAAGAGCAATACATAAAAATGGAAAGATATCAAAGCAATCAGTCACAGGCTGCCCATCCAATTTATCAGAATTCCAAAGAGTCGTATATTTGCAAACTCCTTTGCAATCTAAGCCCAAAAAGTTGCTAAAAGGTGAATTTAGTTCCAAAGGCCTTCAACCATAGTTGTTAAATCGCGATTCGTATCGTGAATTGTAATCCTAAATTTGAAAATTGTGAATTGTGAATTTTGATCGGATCGAATTGACACAAAATTTGAACAAAAATAAAAAATAATATTACATATTTAATATAGACAAAATATTGAATATTAAACATTATTACATTATAAAAATAATCAATTGACATAATCACATCGTTTAAATGGAAAGACGCTAGCTTTTTGTTTCATTTTCATCTTTTGCCTAACCATTTTCAAACTCAACAACTTGAAAAAAAATTCATTAAAGAACCATGGCTATTCAAGAATCAAAATAGTGACACCTACTATAAATTAGGTTATAAACATGAATGAAAAAGAACAAATAAAAAAATTGATTGAGAGAAAACATACATGTCAATATTTTGAAACAAAAATTAGAACCTAACAAACTATTCAGGAAGGAATTGAGAGCAAAAATCAACCAAGGATGCGAGAATATTAGACCTTTAACTTTATACAACGCAAGACGAGTTTTAGATGACGTCAAAGAGAGAATGAGCAAAGACGTTGAATTTTTATTAGGGTGTGAGTTCCTCTGTAAATAAAATGACGTCGTTTTACTGTTTAGTGGACAAAATGACATCGTTTTGCCAAAAATTTGGATTTTGAAAAAAAGTGATTGAATCGTGCGAGTCGTATCTTACGAATTGAATCGTATGAATCGTAGGTGGGATTCATCTCTAAAACGATTCATATAATATACGAATCGTTTTGTACTTGTGTCGAATCGAATCGTACGATTTTGATAACTATACCTTCAACAACCTCATACTTAATCTTCAAAAATTATTGAGTTTCTCGTCGACCAAATCACCTAAATAATGGCAAAAAATGCACATTCCCGAAAAGCAACTCTTTTACAGTTTTCTTCCAAATTCTTTGTAGTCCACACACTACATTGTTAAGATTGTACCTAGAGCCACCAATAATGCTGCACCAATTCATACAACTTGTTCCATAAAGCCAACGCTACCAGACTATGCAAAAATTGATGATTTACATAAATGACACACCATTGTGGGAGAGGCTTGTTTGAGGTCATCTTTTTTGAAGCACATCATGAGCGTTGATCTTCCCATAAGCAATATCCAATGCACAAACTTGCACTTTTAAAGGTACCTTTGCCTTTGGAATCTTAAAGTGTAGATCGCATAGTATTCTCTTATCTTTCTAATCATATTCTTTGAATTTATTGTAATACCTTTGTAGATATACACACACATAGCCTGCAGTAGAATATGTTGTATTTTAATTGTGAGCTAATTGTTCGTTTGTTCTTTCGATGAAATTTTTCAACTACACAGTATGAAACTTGTTGCAACTATGACAATTAATCTTAATTTTTATCCACTGTACCTTCCGTGGAAATCCTATAACGTTGAATAAAGGTTTATGCTTTGTTGGAAAACGTCAACATTGTGCTTTTAAGTTTCAACCTTGAATAAAGATTTATGCTTTATTATATCCCGTGGATGATTTGGGGCATGACTTCTTGAGGCACAGCATGGTTCTGCCAAACATTCTCTTAATAACACATTTTATCAGTTATTAAGTCTTAATATGCGTCTGTTTTTTCCTTCTGCGATTGAGTTGCCCTTACTCATGACTTCCTGCTCAAAAGATAATATGTGTTAACTGTGAATCTGCTAAATGTGCGCTTGTTTCAGGTTGTGGAGGTCTCAACTTCCAAGACTGGCAAGCATGGTCATGCAAAATGCCACTTTGTTGGAATTGACATCTTCAATGGAAAGAAGCTTGAAGATATTGTTCCTTCTTCTCACAACTGTGATGTATGCATTTATATATTCATAAGCAACTTTACTTTATTCCTCTGCTGTAGTTTCTTTCTGCCTCTATCAACATTTATTTTGTGTCCCTGGAATGCAGGTTCCCCACGTGAATCGCACCGACTACCAGCTGATTGATATATCTGAGGATGGATTTGTATGTTCATTCTATCCCTTGTTTGATTACTTTTTTTTCTTTGGTGAATATATTCTGATACCCTCCAAATGCTGTGTAGGTGAGTCTGCTGACCGACAATGGCAATACCAAGGATGACCTGAAGCTTCCGACCGATGAAAGTCTGCTTACGCAGGTTAGTGAATGTGTTTTTTTGTTGACAGTGTGGCCAACTTTTTGCTTTTATCTTTTTATGTGTATCAATATATTTACATATTGGTAGAACATGGCTTGGAATCCTATGTCGTCCTTAAATCTTGTTTTTGTGCCTATGTATTCATAGGGATCCTGTTGTTGTTTTGTTTTTATGTGACCTTCTTTCTGGAAAATGTGTGTCTGTGTTAGAACTTGCTAGTTACCATGATTTCAGCATATGCTTTGGCTCTCATGTATGTCAAGATTGCACTAAATAACTCTTGCTTTCGTATATGATATGTTCGTTGAGTCTTTCTAACTGGTATTGACTCCTTACTTTAGTGATGCAAGTAATTTGTTATTTGTACCCAGTAAATTGTTTTGAACTAGTTCTTATTTGTGCAGCTAGTTATATGCTTCTTAACTTGAAAATTTTTGCGGTAGGTATTTTGGTTTTCTTGTCACCCCTATGCTTTGGAGCCCTTTTGGTTTTCTACTATGTACATTAGCTGCGAAATGGCAACTAACCTGGTCTGACAATTTCATGGAAATGCCAAGATTGATTTGTGAGTGCAGTATTGTAGAGGTTAAACCCCATATTGTTCAGGACATAATACTTCAACTTGAATATGGTCATACCAAGTCAAAATAATAAAACATCTCATCCTCAGAGATTGAGCTGAGAGATTGGTTTCTGTGATCATTTTTGGATTTGAAAGCAAAGGCACTTCATGGTGTTTTGTTGCAAATTCTTTTATGTTAAGTGTGGGGTGATGACACCAGGAATTTTTTTGCAACTCTGAATAGTGAGCTCCTCATAATTACTGCAAATTTTTGCCAATATTCATGTAATGCTAACATTAGTTGCCGAATATATGCAGATCAAGGATGGATTTGCCGAGGGAAAAGACCTGGTTGTGAGTGTGATGTCTGCCATGGNTATTTTGTTTTTGCCAATATTCATGTAATGCTAACATTAGTTGCCGAATATATGCAGATCAAGGATGGATTTGCCGAGGGAAAAGACCTGGTTGTGAGTGTGATGTCTGCCATGGGGGAGGAGCAGATCTGCGCCCTCAAGGATATTGGTCCAAAGTAGCTTTATTTTCTTTTGGACGATGCCTGAGGCTTCAAAATTCTGAATGAGATAGAAAAACAATTACCGAACTATGGGGTTTTGTGTGTAGAAGAGCAGGGGCCACATTTGAGAAACATTTTAGCACTTGATTCTTGTTGGGATATGGCCTACCTTCCTAAGAAACATTGTACTTTTTTTTTACTTATTTTTATGCTTGGCAATCTATAAATTTTGTGTGTTTATTACTTCTTGAACCATGTCTGGTCTTTGTTCATGGTGTGGAATTTAATTTGCTGGCATGTGTATAAACTTATGCAACCTGTTGCGAAGCTGCAACTTTTTACTTATATATTGTGACCTAATGAATTGGTTCGCTTGAGTAACTGTTCTGATTTGTATTAACCCACTCATTATTTTTGTGACTGAGCAGAAAAATTTCCATGGTTGACGAAGATGGTTCTGTGCTGGGCAATCAACAAGTCTTTTTTGTAAGACATGAACTTGGAATTGAATTGATTACCTTGATGGTTTCCATTGTTTTTGTGTTACGGTCTTTCTCTGGATGGTCATGTTATGTAGCATATGATTTTTATGGGGAAGGCTGTGGACCTGTGCAATTAGGATGAAGAACTAGGTACGGATATATACAAAAATTCCGGGTACAATATATTTATTTACCTGGCGTCACATAGCATAGGAGGAACAAATTTTGATATTTTATTTGTGAATGTTGTTAANTGGGCACATATATTTATTTACCTAGCGTCACATAGCATAGGAGGAACAAATTTTGATATTTTATTTGTGAATGTTGTTAATGCCATTCAATGAGGAAATTTTATAAGATTTTATTTTATTTTTTGATTGAATTNAATGCCATTCAATGAGGAAATTTTATAAGATTTTATTTTATTTTTTGATTGAATTAGAATTTTATTTTATTTGGTTTCTTTATATATTTAAGGATTTTAATTTCCTAATTAGTTTAGGATTTTTGCTATTACATAAATTCATGCAAGTCTTGGGACAAAATAATTTTTAATTTTTTGAGAAATTAATAATATTGAAGATTTTTTTTTTCTTTTTATAATTTTTTTGGTATTCTCAACAAATCTATTGAAGACTCTCAAGGGACTAGGATTGATATGAATTAATAGGCTTGGTGTAGAATTCTGAACTAATATTTGCGCACAAATCAACGGCTCAATTTCATTCTGTTTCTCAATTTCCTTATTGTTCTTTACACTCGTGTGTTTTATATGTTTTCCTGTATCAACATAATTAATATCCAAAAAGGAGAGAGAGAGAGAGAGAGTTGCTAACCCATTAAGTGATCATAGGTAAAATGGGAAAACATTAACTACGTCATCATGGGATCACATTGTAGAAGTAGCAAACCCACATTCAAGAATCATCTCTCTTGTATATGAATGTGTTTAGGAACACAACCTAAAAGCTTCATGAGGCACTGGAACCAGTCAGTCTACCGTGTGAATAGACTGATAACAGCTTCAGAAAACCATTTTAGTTTCTTCATTTCCACAAGAGGATTAAGATCAGGCCCAAAAAAAAAAAAACACAAGGCGAACAATGGTAGATAGGCCACCTCGTTTGTTTGATGCCTCTGTTCATCCTCTTCATGGACAAATTGAAGATTATGGTGCAAGCATCTCTTCTATTTCACAAACCGGATGACTGTTCCAAGCCAGTCTTCAGGCGTGTTGCCCCTGATTTCCCCGCTCAAGGCCCTTAGAGAGTCGTTTGTGCCTGCCTGTGTTCGACAAAGGAATAATAGCTCATACGCAACAATGTAATTGAAAAGTACAGTAGGACAATGTCAAAAAGTCATTACCCTCACGATGTAGACATCAATTCCGAGTTTTGCAATACTTGCAGCTTCCGATATTTTGGTCACCATTCCACCAGTTGTATCATGAGATGCTACAGTTATCTGAACTGTTGAAAGCAATATATTAAGACCCAAGGCAATAAATGCAGCCTCCTGCCTCAGTTTCAGCCCATGTTTTTCAAAAAAATAAAGCATAGGTTGGCAGTTTGTAATNAGCCTCCTGCCTCAGTTTCAGCCCATGTTTTTCAAAAAAATAAAGCATAGGTTGGCAGTTTGTAATGTCTGTGTCACGTTATAAATCAAAATAATCAACCAAGAGACCACAGCACATATATCAACTTCATGAATTTCAATTTATACGGTCTTTACAAATCCTAGGGCGTAGATATGACACGTTAACTGCATACCACTGCCCTTCCCCAATTGTTTTTCATGGTCATCTTATGGTGATTCTAGATGTCCAGGCTTTTAAGGAATTAAACATCCACTCTATGTTGAACTTTCACCCAAACGGTTTGTGATGTGCTGAAGAAAAATCAATTCTGCCTGTGGTTAGAATTTAATAGAGGTCTGCATATCCTGTAGAGGTTACTTTTATTTGGTTTGTTTTTCACTTAGTAGAAGGCAATTTTCCACCTCCATAAGAGGCAATAACATACACCGGAGCCTTAAAATAGTCTAAAAATTTAAGAGGTCACATCATGAAGATTCTTGATTGTTTATATGTGCCAGGTTTTAAGGCAAAAAAAAATCATATTGAAATGTTCCAAAATCAATGGGTGCATTTCAATGAATTGAAAAGAAAATGAGTGAAATAGATTTTTGGATGTAAATACCACAAAACTATAATTGAATACAAGAAAGTATCCCGTACTAACCTTGCCTATTCATGTCTTCTAATTTTGGTTTCACCACAAACCAGCTCCCATCTTCACGCACAGCTGTTATGGTTGAAGAATCAGTCATCCCAATTCAATAGCATAAATCTGCCTCAACATTTGAGTATCGTCAGTGTACAAAATCTTGGCGAAAACTTGGTGCTCACCAATCTCCTTGAGGAGTACTGCATTAGGTTCTGTTGGTGGACTGTCATACACTCCAGAAACATCTGTCTTCAGTCCGTATTATATAGGATAACATGTAAGAAAATCACTTTCACAAGCATCAGATGAATAGTGTGACCTTGATAGGTCATAGTAGAGGTAAACCTGAGATCGTACCAGATGAAATCTCGAAGCCCACCTAAAATGACAAATATACAGTAATGCATGACAGGGTAAAATTTGTGGTCTATTAATGTAATTAGATTTTTTTTTATTACTGTTTAAAAAATGATAATGACAATCATAAACAGGGGATACAAGAAAAACAACAAATTCCGGCTTTAGCTGCTCTGCAATGTGGCGTATAATTACGTCTCCACTCAAGATGGTGCAATCCTGATCATCAAAAGTACTCAAGTACATGGCAATGCCAATTAAGCAAATCACTCATACTTGGAGAGATCATACCAGTGAGGCATCAAGCACTGCATCTCCATGAAGAACCTAGAATGGGAAAAAACAAAAATTATCACATCCTTATTTCCACATTAACTTTTTGTATACAATAACATTTCACTACTTCAAATACAAGTAATCTAACATTAATCATTCAAAGAATACGGCCAAGAAGAGCAGCTCGCCAACAACTATTATAGAAAGCCCTTAGCTCCCCTAAGCTGATACGCAGAAGCCAAACATCACACAAAGGTCTAGATTAACATTATGCGCCGAACACTTTATAGCAGGTTATTTATATTGACGTGAAACAAAAGGGATATTATTTTTGTCTCACATAAATCTCTTGTAATTCTATAGTTTTTGTTTTACATATTTTGTCTATATGATTACAATTTAGATTAAACTATCCATGAAATACTAATATACATTTATCAGGTAGCCAATCCGTCAAGCTTGAGTTTCCTCAATATGCCTCTTAAATTACTGCCTGCAGTTTTCTACAATCAGTGGGGATGTCAAATGGCTAGTACACACAAGAACATCCTGCAAAGAGAAGTCCTAAAACAGCACTGCTGCTGAAAATTTTTCTGAACCAACTTAAAATTTCTATAGCAGCTTTTTCTTCATTTCTTTTCTTGCCCTTGGTTTATATAAAACCAGCCCTCTTGATATCATTTTTATTTTTTATTTTTTATTTTTTAATATCACATCATTTTGGGATTGCATGTAGGAAGATAATTCTTTATTTTGAAACTAAAATTTCTATAATGTTAATGATAATTCTTTATGATGCAGCTAATACTTCAGATCAAACCAATATTACCTATTTTCACTTCTTTTGGGTACATGCATAGGCTGAATGTTGACAAGAACAGAGAAATATGTGAACAAGGTCATCACTGTTCTTGTTTATTGTTTTTAATGCTATGTAACAATGTGACAATTCACATTGCATGCAAGAGATATTGATAAACAGCAAAAGTTAGTTACAAATTGAAGCATGAGAACCTGCATATCAATTAACTTACAGGTATAAAACCAGAGTCAATGGCCTTAGTCACCATAGATAGATCAGCTGAAACTATCTGAGAAAAAAAAAAGGTAATAGAATTCAATTTTAAAGATTCCACGGATTTACTTGAAAAGGAAAAATACATAATTAAAGGATAACAATAAAATCAGATATTCCATAATTGATGCATATACTAATAAAACCACTTTCAGAGTGCCTTCTCACATTTCTTTCACGAGTTGACCACCCACAGGAAAATGGAGACATTCCGACAGAGGGAATACACTCTGCAAGAAAGAACAAAACATTTGCTGAAGTGAACATATGATTAAAAAAAGACGAGCCAATTCTAACAAGTATTGCTGATGAAGAACATGATAGCAGGCACTTGTCAGCAAGGTGAATTAACATTTAGCTACGGACCACTAATTCTATTTTCTCAAGGAGAATATGTATTCTCATGCAGGTAGACAATTGAAAAAAAAAGATATTATTAGGATATTGGAGCTGCTGGAATTGTGCAAAACCTGAAAATATCTATTCAACTAAAGATTTTACGAAATTAATTGGATAATAATCAGACAACCAAAAACATGAAAAAAGTAATAGAGGAGAAGAAAGTGAACTATTTAATCTGAAACTGCAGTATTTTTGTATCTTTGATCCATTTGACTGACAAATCCTACCAGATATTCTACAGATGCATAGTTTTGATTTGGTAACTGTTGAATCTAACGAAATCATCTAGCTTGTTGACATAGCTGTCGGGATCCTAGATTTTGAGAAGAAAGTTGTTTGAATTTTCCAAACTTAGCCAAGAAAATCAGCAGTTCTTCACGTAATTGATGCTAGGAAAAAAGTAGTTGGGCACATCTTTCTCTCACTCACTCACACACACACTCTCTCAAACTGATACAGGAAAAATAAGCCATAACAATCTGAGTTTAGGCCATCGTAATATATTACAACCAGAGAAGACAACTTGTGGCCCTTCTCATTGGTTCAATGCACCAATGACTACTTTAGAGCATGATTTCTCATCCCCATAGTTGAGCATTACATTTATTTCTTTTAAGTCATTCCTGACAGTGATCAACCATTAAGAAATAAGAAGTAACTGACAACATGACTTAGTGGCAAAAAAACCAAGCACGAAAACGTAGTAACGCGAACTCCATGGAAACCCACAACACTTGATTTTCAAGAAGCCACCTTGGTGATGGATTTGAGCAGTAAATTGATCATAGAAACAAATTTTACGGCCTTTATAGCATTGACTAGAGAATCTCAGGAATATTAACTGCACAAGGAAATACTGATGCAAAAAGTCTAAAGAAACAGGGCCCAGATACTTTGACAAAGGGTTGGATTTTGTGGATTTGATTCTTACCTCTTGCTAGGGCTCTGACAATTTCGAGATTGAGGGATGTAACCTAAAATAACAGGAACAAACAAAGAAACATATAAATATGGGACTATAAGAAGATTCCTCATCCATCAGTAATCTGTAACAGAGCAATGACTCCATGTAGACCAACTGTGATTGTATGCCAGAAAGAAAGACTGGTTTATAAAAAGCAGGTCACAATAAATACGAAGTGCATAAGCATGTCATCATTCACGGCTATTTGACTTCATCATTTTTATTGAGAAACAACCCCCCAAGTGGTCATTGTCATGAGGGACCCAAGACCCAGAGCTGAAGTGAATTACAGCTATGATATCCCAATTCAGTAAGAATTTATTAGCTTCAACTCTCGGGCTAAACCAAAATGGACAACCAAAAAAGAGAGAGTAAAAAATCAATGGCATCTACCTTCCACCAGTAACTAAACCCTTGCGCATATATGCACAAAAAAAACATAAGAGACTCATTATTTAGTAAAAACATGACCTGGTTCTATGATCTAACTAGTGAGGAAACAATAAACAATCCTAATTCCTAATAAATACACACAGATATTGGTAACCACAATGAAGCCATTATTCGGTGTCTTTTCTCAAATAAAAAATGCTTCCATTAACAGGTTTATTACCGCTATGAATTTGGTTTTAGACTTACAAGTAGAGGAAAGTAAGGCCATTTGATTAAATTGTCTTTTGGTAATTAAATCTGTCTTCCCATTACTTAAGGTTATCAAAAACAAATGCATTCATTTAGATCAAACAACTAAATGAGCACAAAAAGCCCGAACATCAAACAATTATAGACCGTCCAGTGTCAATATAGGAAGGATAAAACAGTTGCATACAACTAAAGCTTAGAATAGTATCTCTTACAGAAATACGTGTAGCAACAAACCCAGCCTTGACAAGAGGCTGGTCCAATCCTCCTTTATGAACCCCAGATCTGCTAGCTTGAAAGTGGCCAAAAGAACCTGAAGGCAACAATGAAAAAAATGTTTAGTAAAAAACTACAAAATCTGGTAATATGAATTGATCCTGATTTGCTGGAATATTTCAGACATTAAAAAATCGTAATACATAAACGATCAACCTGCCCCATGAACAACAATAAAACTGCCAGAGTCAAAAACAGGTTGATCTCTGAAATCCTCATCAACGCTAGGAGTTTCTGAAATCCCGGGGCGTTTGCTCCAATCCATCCCCAGAGACTTCCCAGAAGAAGATCCTGACATCATTGCTTGTCGAAGCTGCAATGAGACCGTTTCAAGAGCTTCTTCATTTATCTTCTCAAACTCATTTTTGCAAGTAATTGCTGCTCCTCCTGAACTACATCAAAACACCAACCAATATGCAAATACTCTTCATCACATCCACTTATACACTCACTAAATTCTATATAACCACCGCTCTTATATATTAAATCTCAAAAGTGTAATTCCATAGTCAACTTCAATTATAAAAATTTGCAAGAACACATTAAGCAATCTTTATATCCTAACATTAATCTACTGCAACTCAGTCAACTTCCTCAAATTATTAGTTTTCAAGTCAAGTTATTCCGGGCTCGTCTTGATTAATGATTTAAAGCAATCTGAAGATCTCAACTTCGGGCGCAAAACTATATGGTTCATATAGGAGACTCAGATCACAAGTCTTGCTCAATATTGTGGATTACTCTACAAAAACCACTTGCTTAAAATCCTAAAGTACCTTAATTCTACTAAAATTTAATCAGTAACTAAGATTTTTTGGAACTAACTGATATGGGTATGTAGAAATGAGAGACCATTTACGAAGAGAACACTAGAAGCGATTAAATGTCGAATAAAATAGATCAAAAACAAAGAAAAAAACAACAGGAAGTAGATTAATGGTAGTATGTGTAAAGTTGCTGACCCAGTTTGACGATGAAACGAATAGGTATGATCGGTTTGATAGCTGAGTTTTGGTGCTGCTGGCTTTGATTCATCTCCTCCATGTTGGCTCTCTGCTACTCTTTCCTACACTGGGCTTCAAGTATAAGAAGAACTAAAACCCCAAGACGAAGTGACACAGACCGGATTGGCTTCGATCGAGGTCTTGGTGATTGGTGAGTAGTGAACTCCACTCACAACTCGAATTTATTATCAATATACGGTCATTTTGGAACAAATTTACCAATTTACGTCATTCTTAAATTTATTTACTAAATTACAAAAATTTTAAAAAATGAAATCAATAATTTCGTTTTTATAATAAAAATGGGATCAACAATTCCGCTTTTATAATAAAAATGGGATCAATAATTCCGCTTTTGTAATAAAAACGGGATCAATAATTCTATTTTTAAAAATAAGAGCGGGTTCAAGGATTTCGCTTTTACTTTGTTGCTTTGAAAATTATATTGAGAATCTTTATTGGTTCTGTCATCACCACCAGTATTGTTTGACATTGTAAATTATTCATTTTACCCTCGAACCATAATTCCTCTTTTCTCTCTCTCTCTTGCTCACTCACGCTCAGACACACACACTAACACACAGTCACACACATAATAGGAGAAGAATCCAACCGCTATGAATATGATAGATTTTAGGGTTACTTATGGAGCCCAAAATCAATTGAAGGGTTCTGTGTTGGTTTTGTAAGATTAATTTTATTTAGTTCGATAAATTATTTTTTGTGATTTGTGAATGAGTTTGTGAAGGAGATGCTTAAATTGATTTTGTGACATTATATTTTTTGTTCAAATAAATTATTTTTGGTGATTTGTGAATGAGTTTTGTAACAAATCACGACTTATTATTGAGCTCCGTAATGAACACAGTTCCTCTCTGTAGAAGCGAAGCTTGGCTTATTAGCCATGGGAGAAAAATAATTTTTTTGGGTAAATTATGGAAGAAGGAGATGTGAAAAAGTGACCCAACAAGCTTGGAAAGTATTAGAAATTTTAAAGCAAGCTTCACACAAGTTTTGAACCACCTGAAGTGGCTGTGGTTGTGACTGTGGCGATTGCGATGGAGTTCCAATTGAACACGAGTCCTCCCTAGAAAGCGAATTTATTAATAACGATTTTTAATGATATTAAAAATATATTTTATTAAAAGTGGAATTGTTGATTCCGATTTTATTAGAAAAGCCGGATTATTGATTATGTTTTTAAAAAATACTGTAGTTTGATAAATACGTTTAAAAATGTCATAGATCGATAAATTTGTGCAAAATTAACTTTACATTAGTAATAAATTCCTCACAACTCACAAGCCTAATGATTAATGCTGAGTGCTTTTTTTTTTGGGTTTGACTATGGTACTGAAATTAGTTACTATATAAAAATTTATAATTTTTGTAATATACGATATTATTTTTTTGGATTTAATTATAATTTATAATAATATTTTAAAATTAATCTTAAAGGAAATAATTTTTTTCGATCACATTATAATTTTAGGATTAAGTTATAAATTTTGAAGATCAAATTATAATTTTTTTGGCAGTGTTTATGCCAAAAAAAATTTGTAACTTGACCATTAAAGTGCCTCAACCGCCCCGACCCCGACCGACATTGCATCACCATATTTTAGGAGTTGTCTGCTGTACAAAAAAAAATAAAAATAGTATCATTATTATTTTTGTGGTATTTTTATCATTATTATAAATATTTTCAATTTTATTTATATTGCGGTAAAAATAGTTATCATTATTTATATTTAATACTTAAATTTTGAATAAATCATACTTGGACCTCTTAAAATTTATCACTAAATCCCGTGAACCCCCTCAAGCATAATAAACTACACTGACACTCCCTGTCAGTAAAGGGCAGCTAATCGATCTAACGAAAACTACAAAATGACCGTGTTACCCTCTGATAAAAATCAATCTGACCCAAACCCAAATATGTCGCCCGAATTTGATATATAACGACCCAACCTCGTAACCTATGCCATTTTTTTGCCACTTTCTTTCTCTCCACTGCTTCTACTGTACTTAGTCACCAGCACTGACTATCAGCAATAACCAAACACCATCCCTCCAATTAGCTACTCCCATCTTCGCCGCTGGAATCCATCATCCACAACCACCAAGTGAGCTATCCCAGCTCACCCCACTACAAACTTCCCATGACACGCACCCTTTTCTTGTTGCAATGGTAGAATGCATTGACACCAGTAATTCATCGCGTTCTTCTTTGATTGTTGGCTAAACAATTCTTGAACCATAACTTATCGGATAGATGGTGCTAGCAGATCTGGGTTTCCCGGAGTGAAGTTGTGGTTCAGAGAGAGAGAGAGAGAAGAGTTGGTTCATGGTTCTACGTGTATAAGTTTGTGGAAAGGAAAAGAAAGAGACAAGTAGAGAGAGAGAGAGAGAGAGATGTTGTGATGGACATAAATATTTTGTGTGTCTGTGGGTGGTTGATGGTATTGGCGGCGGCCACGGTTTCTGGTGCATTCGGTAGTGGGGTCGATGATAAATTTGTGATGAGGTTAAATAACATTTTTGTTACTTAAATTCTATTAACTAAAATATTAGCTTGGCAATGGATGTTAAGTAGCTTGATTATTGGATTTTAATTAGTTTTATTAATGGGTTACTCAATTTGAATTAGTTGGTTAAATTACTAAAATTAGCTTGTGACAAAAATGAATGTGATAATTATGGTGGTTAATTGCTTAATTAATGGACTAAATTAAATTAGTTGCTGGACTTGTGAGGAATTTTACGAAAGTTTGAGAATGATGGTATTAATTGCATAATAAATGGGCTGAATTAAATTAGTTGTCGAACTTGTGATGGATTTTACGAAAAATAAAAAATTATTGAATTTTTTTGATAGTTTATTTTTTTAGAGGTGGATCGTAGGTAATTTTAATTTTTTTTTTTGATAAAAATGTGTTGATGATAGTTTTTCAAACGGATTTTAACGACAGAGAATTATGTGTTATACGAGGCCAAACCTCGAGGGATCATGATATTATTTTTTATATTTGAGGGGATTTATGTGATTTAATGATAAATTTGAGGGAGTTTAAATGTAATTTACTCTTAAGGTTTGATATTATTCAGGTACGGAGTTATTGTCATTATATCTTCATTTAAAATTTCAGAAAATATCACAAAACCAAAAACTAACGAACTCCATAACTCGTACCTGCTGCGTGGACTTTTTATTGAGAGAGAGAAAAGGCGAAGAAGACGACGGCGAGAGAGAGAGAGAGAGAGAGAGAGAGAGAGAGAGAGGAGGGGGGAAATAAAGGGAAGACGTTGTTTCAGGGAAGAACTAGAGAGAGAAAGTGTCTTTGAAGAGCCCCAAATGGTGAAGAACTTGACGTAGAGAATTGAACAAACCTCAAAGTCAATGGCTGAGAAAGAAGGATTATCATCGTTCTCATCGAGAGCTTCATCGGCTCCTCTACGTCCTACGATCAATCTACCACCACGATCTTCCATGGAAAGCCTCTTCACCGGTGGGTCAGGTGTGAGTCCAGGACCGATGACTTTGGTCTCTAACTTCTTCTCAGAAAACGATCCGGACTCCGCTTGCCGCTCGTTCTCGCAGCTCCTCGCAGGAGCTATGGCATCGCCGGCGGCGATTTCAGCTCAGAGACCGAGTTTTTCGGCTCTCTCGGCGGCGGAGAATGGTTCAATGAAGAATAAGGAGGCTATTGATGGTGGTGGAGAGGATGATTTTCGGTTGAATCGACCGTCCGGTTTGGTGATCGCACAGCCGCCGATGTTTACCATACCTCCTGGTCTGAGTCCTGCTACCTTGCTTGATTCGCCGGGTTTTTTGTCCTCCGGTCAGGTATTCGAGCTATGATGAATCCTTGTTTTTACTTGGAATTTTCGAGATAGATATGCGCATCTAATATTTTATATTCTTAATGATTTTGAGAGGTAGAACAGTTCAGAACATATTTGAATTTGGTACTTCATCTCATTTCTGTTTTTGTCTATACTTTTGAGACTGGAAATTGAATTTACTGTTTAATCCGATTGAGTCTTTGGTCATGGAATGTGGGAAAAGTAAAATTTTGTCAGATTTACTGATGATTTAATTTCTCAACTGTAGCTTGAATCATCAACCCAGATTGTTGGGATTAAGCTTTGTTGAGATGAGATGAGCTTGTCTCAACAATGACAATTTTGGAAATTTAGCTAAAACTAGAGAGTTGGCGTATGTTGCACTTAGATGCAGAGGGAGTTCTGCTATAATATCTAGTTATTCACTCTGTTGGAAGGGGGAGGTTGCACAATCAAATTTGCTAACTATTTGGGCTATCAGCACAGAATTCAGTCTAGACTGCCTGGTGCTTGGCTTTTGTACCGTGGGTTAGGAATCTAGAAACAGAAATTTCACTTACAGACTGAGGCATAGATCTCCCAGCAGACAACTTATTTGATATAATGTTAGCAGGTATAAGTTTATGGTATCTTGCATTATACTTTCATCCACATTTTGTGCGTAGCTTGTCCCAATGTCGAACATGGACCTCATTTAATAGCTGGACAAGGCAGATAATATTTTTCTGAGGCTCTAGGGCTTATTTGGTGACTCATGTAGTGTTCCAGCAAAAAGCTATATAGAAAAACACATCTAATAAAGTTTCTTTATGAAGGAGAAGCATAGGTGTAGGTACCCTGTAAAAACATGATATGGGTTGTTGTGTAGTGATTTGTTTGCCGGAACCTGTATGATGTGGGTGATGGCAACATGTACACTGAGTGTATGCTGAACACTGTTTTGATTCTTCACTTAATATTTTCAATTTACTGTTAAAAATTTGGAATTACAAACCTGTTTTAAATGTTAATTTGTCATTTGTGGTATATGTAGGCCCCATTTGGGATGTCCCACCAGCAAACACTGGCTCAGGTTACAGCTCAGGCTGTGCAAGCTCACACACAAACGCAAATTCAAACTGAATACACATCTTTATCAGCAGCTCCTGCTGCATCACTGCCACAGATTCCCTCATTTACTTCCAATACTGCCACACACCAGCAGATGCCACAACCAATGCAAGAACATAATGTTGTGAAGGAACCATCAGATTTCTCTCATTCTGATCAGAGGCCCCATCCTTCCTTTGCTATTGGCAAACCTGCTGACGATGGTTACAACTGGCGGAAATATGGACAGAAGCAGGTGAAGGGTAGTGAATATCCTCGAAGCTATTACAAATGTACACATCCTAAATGCTCAGTCAAGAAGCAGGTTGAACGGTCTGTGGACGGACAAGTGACTGAGATTATCTATAAGGGCCAGCATAATCATCAGCCGCCTCAATCCAATAAGCGTGTAAAAGATACTGGAAACCCAAGTAACTCTGAATTGGGTTCCGAAGCTCATGCTGGGAACTTGAACAAATCTAAGGAAGTGGTGTCTTCATATTCATTGTCGATGAAGGATCAGGAATCTAGCCAAGCTGCACCTGAACAATTGTCTGGCTTGAGTGACAGCGAGGAAGTGGTTGATGCTGAAACAAAAGTAGATGAAAGGGATGAAGATGAACCTGAATCAAAGAGAAGGTTTTCTTGTTTACCTAATTGTGAAGGATTCCATCATGTGATATTTTTAATATATCCAATTATCTTGATTGCTGTCATTATACATGCACATTGTGCAGGAACTTAGAGGTCAAGATTTCAGAACCAGCTTCATCCCAGCGGACAGTTACAGAACCTAGGATCATAGTTCAAACAACCAGCGAAGTTGATCTTTTAGATGATGGCTATAGGTGGCGCAAGTATGGTCAGAAGGTTGTTAAAGGAAATCCGTATCCAAGGTGATACTGTTTTCCCTGGTGCATTTACCATTATAACAAGCTACATGCCTTTGATTTAGGAATTCTTCAGGTAGTTTGGACTTGGTATTAGCAAAGTTTATAGGTTATAGACCATGATAGATTTTGTACCCAACTACCCGCTGAACTACAAGATTCACATGCCAGCTATTACAAAAGTTCTGGCATTCAATGCAAGATCATCCTACTGGTTGGTTCTTTACTGAGGCTACAATTAGGCCGACACGTGGATAGGAAAAGGAGTATGAGTCATTTGGCATAAACCAGGACAAAAAAATGAAAAGAAAAATACCTTAATTATCACCTACATGGAGCCAGCAACATGTTTCACCATGAATTCGGGCATGATCTTAGACTATATCAACATCATATAATTAGTGCCCCTTGGACTGCTCTACTTAATATTAAATTATCATCATATACCTATATGTCTTCAATATCACAGATGCAACTTTTTCTTTGTTTGAATAATGGATGGATGCCCTTAATTCATATCGGCATCTCCTCATTTTAGCCTAAATAAGGGTGTGCATGCTAAGTAGTATTAGGAAATTTAATTACCATGAATACAGTCAACTAGCTGCGTAGAAGGTAAATCAAATTTAGGAATCCTCACCCCGGGGCTGGTAGAAACAAGGAAAAAGTGAGCAGCCCTATATTAGCATTCAACAACGTCGAGGAATGATGCAAATAAATGTGGTATGACTAGATGAGAAGCTTCAAGTGAACGATTTGCTTGCTCCTCCAATTTTCCTTCTTTGGTATCAATCCTGAAGCATCTTGGTGCCTTTTGCAGGAGCTATTATAAGTGCACAAACCCAGGATGCAAGGTCAGAAAACATGTTGAGAGAGCTGCAAGTGACCCGAAGGCTGTTGTAACAACCTACGAAGGAAAACATAATCATGATGTACCAGCTGCTCGAAACAGTAGCCACAACACAACCAACAATATCGTGTCACAACCAAAGCCTCATAATGCTGTAGCTGATAAGCATGCATTATATAGAAGACCAGAATTTGGGATCAACGAGCAACAGCCTATACCATTGCGGTTTAAAGAAGAACAGATTACATAGATTCTTTGAGTTTCAAACATGGAAAGAGAAAGAGGGCAGTCAGAGAACGCTAAAGAAAATTGCCATGAATCTCACACGGAAGCTTGATCTTTCTGTTAGGATCTACTTTCATGCTTGAGTGCAAAATTATGGTCCACGGTCATCTATACTACTGCAAAAATACAAGAGAAACAGGGAAACAGAGGTGAGTGTACACCAAAATGTTGTCAGTAGGTACAAGCTAGCATTGAATTGAACAGAAATTGATTGTAAATTAACTTAACAGGGCATAGAGTTTGTACTGTTATAATCTTATAATTGTGTTTATTCTTTTGTAAAACCCAATACTGATGATTGTTTTCTGCTGCATATGGAATCACATACACATTTTCGAAGTTCATTTTTTTTTTTCCTTCATTACTGAGACCCTGTAAACTGTTTGTTTCTGTTTCCTGGTTCTCAGAATGATATAAGATGGTGTGGCCGGAATGATACGAAGTATTGTCTAAGTTTTCGGACTCCAGTGATCCCTGCTGACATGAGGTGCTGTTTTTTGAGCACCTAAGAGTGTTAATCGAGATGAGTTACTCGAGCTTAGTTCATGCTTGACTCATGTTCTAAACAAATTAAACTTGAACAATTTTCTAAACAAGCCTAAAAAAGACTCAGTTTAAGCTCACAAAATTTGACTCGTTTATGTGTAAAATAGTCGAGTTACTCAGACTTAACGGGAGTTCAGCTCGGCTCTTGTTTTAATGAATCGAGCTTGAACAATTTTTTAAACTCATTTAAAAAAATAAGCTCGCCAAGTTCAGGGTTAAGCTCACAAAACTCGGCTCAAAAAACACCCCAATGAACACCGGTGACGAGGACACAAAATTCGCTTTAATTTATAATTTCAATCAACTTAAAAAGAGAAACAATTAAAAAATGTAATCAAAACATTTTGGAATAGGGTTCAATTGTGGTATCCATAAATTATTTATCGGTATTATACTTTCATTTTTCATTCAATAAAAACATATCATGTGTAAAGCCATCAATTTCTTAAATTCATCTGACTCTCCGTATGATAATCTTATACTTGAAAACAAAATAAAAAAATATATTTTTCAGAACCCATTGAATCGTAACTGTAGCCCAATTGAACTAAAATTTAACCTAATTAAGTCATAACTTTCTCAAATCTTTTAGCATGATACCCTAGTCTTTTCTATTTAGTTACATTAGGAAAGTGAAGATTTAGTGGCTGTGATCATCCTACCAAACAATCAACCCTATATCATGAAAAGGTAAATCCTGTAATCATTAAAATGAAGCATAGATCAAATGGTATCACGAATAAATTACAAATTCAGATATTCTAAATTTAAATTTTAACAACTATTTAAGATTTTTCTCATGAATATTCTAATTCCCGCGTTCCTTTGAACGGATTAAGAAAGAGATTAATCGAAATACATATAAATTGATTCAGACATCCCTAACCGTTGAAAAAAAAAACTCATCTTACATGGACCCAAATAAAAAAAATCTCCATTTAATCCTCCGAGTCCTTTCTAGGCGAAGGAAATAACCTATAATCTCGAAGTAATTATTGTTTTACATTTTACAATAACTCATACTTTGAATTGAGGAAAATGATTTCTTATTTCTTTCAATCACCCTCCCAATCACATGGAGCATTGGTCCAGACTCCAAAAATACTAAAATTATTCCTCTCGATTTCTCGGTTGCCGAAATTGTTGTGCTCTCTATATGCATTTCCAACTCCCCCATCCAAATCAATCACCGTCAGTGGGGTTTATGATTCTAGGGATTTGGCCATGGTTTACAAAGTCAATCTTGTTCAATCGAACACAACATAGAACCTTCTCCGGCAGTTCTTCTGGCTTTTGTGCCTGTCAAGCATTATGAAACGAATAGTGCAGGTTAGTTTTGACAGCAATGGAAGAGATCGAGGAAGCTCTCAATACTAGTCTGGTGGTTTCATTACAAAAGATTCAGAGGTAAGAGTCACCTAAAAAATAAATTTTAAATCAAAAGAATTTCTATAAATTTAATTGTTTCAGCTTCAAAATTTTTGTAACGACTCAGCATTGGTGTGTGTTGAATCCCACGTTGGAAGTTTACACGAGGGATCTTGGGTATATATGTAGGAACAATGACACTAAATGATAATTACTTGGCTAACCCTTTTGCGAGAGTTCCTGCACATGACCATGTAGATTCGGGGGCAATGCGGTGTGGGGTCTTGGTAGTTTTGTTATTTATCTAGTAGGGGATATGCATGAAATGGTAGAAGTACAACTTCAAAGGAGCTACATTTCATGGTAGCTTTAATCAATCAGCTTCTTAACCTGGGATACTTAGCTCACCAGGTATCCAAGAAGCAACATGTCATGGTCAGCTCATTTCTATAAAAATATGACAGCAAACCTACCGGAAATCAAATAAGGTACGTCTTTGAGCCGACTATCAATTAAATTAGTCAGTTTCACTTGATTAAACTATGCAACTTGGTATTGACAGATGAAGATAAGCTCCTTTTACCTGCTTCATAGTTGTTAAATTGAGTTTCAATTGACATCCTCAACTTTTCAGATGGGATAAGATGTAAGAAAAAATTATACCTGAATTGTTAAACCCAAGTCAAGTATCCCATGTTTCAACCGTTCTCGGAATGTGTCAAGTCCTTTCCTAGATATGTAGCTGAAGCGGTGTACATCCAGGTCAATCTCAAAGTAATTGGGTCCCTGCATAAGACAGGCAAAATTAATTTTGATGTGATACTAACAACAGAATAGTTGTACTACAAGAAGCTATCATGGAGGTAGCTGCATTAGTAAAATAACTTCATTACTCTGTCCCCCCCCTCCCCCCCAAAAAAAAAACAGAAAGGTAGTGAGCGGGGGTGAAATTATATACGTAGACCTCAAAGAATGCTTGCTTACTCTTCTCCAGGCATTCTAGCATTAGGTGTGGTACACAACATTTTGAAATGCATAAATTGCAATTGTTGTGTAGCTCATAGTCTGACGTCCACAACATAACTAAAGCGTTGTGTGCGCGAAAGAAGCCAAGTCTGTGTTGGCAAACAGATGAATTTAATCTTCAAATGCTAGTTACAATTTCTATTCAAGGACTCGAGTGAAAAATGCAGGGCTGAGTCCAGGCATGCCACACCTCTTGTTCCATATAGACTGCAACTCTATTATCTAAAAGGTCCTATGGACCTAAGTAGTTAAGCTTAGACTCTGTCCAGAAATTTGGCCCTGCCAGCTTGCGTTTTCATAGCTAAAATTGCTATCACCAAGGAGGTTTCATGGGTGCCAAACCCCTCGTTGTCTGGCCATTGATGCAAATTTGAGAGCCAGCTAGGTTATCAGTTCATTTTGCTTCAATGGTATGGCCCAGACCATTGGAGGCTTGGATATTATGCATGAATGGCACAAAGAATGTCAGCATGTGCATAAAGAATTTAACAAGAAGTTTCAAACTATATAGCAGCCGTTTAAGTGGCACCGAGATCATTGCATGTGAACATAAATTTGAATCACATTCAACTATCACCAACGAGAAAAATTGAAACAAGTGAGACAAGAACTAAAAGGAAAATGTTGCTCACCCTGTAGAAAGCGTGTTGGGGACGTGAAAGCACTGGCTTATCATTATAAGCATGTAAAAGCTTCTTTTCAGTAGAATTCAAGAGCAGGTCTTCTGGATTGACCACCCCAACCAGGATTTTTAGTCTTTCTCTAAAAGGAACAGTGGAATCTTTTGCAAAACCTTTCACTCTTTCCCGCTCATCCAGGACCAGCCTCTGCGGCAGATATTCGACAAAGCGGATGCGTAAACTACTACGTAAGGAAAGAAGACATTGATAACAGACTGAAGGTAAGAGATAAAAAATAACAGACAGGAGTACCAAGTGAATCTAGGCAAGGTCATATGGTGACAAGTTCAAGAGGAATAAGATTTTGTCAAGAGTTCCTTTTAAGGTTGAAATAATAAAAATATTTGCCACACCTCATATATGCTAGGAATGAGCAAGAACAGTGGTCTATTATGAATTATCTTTCTAAACTTCCAATTGGTAAGAACTAGTTTAAAGCTCATGAGCCAGATTACTGAGGTTGATCAGATGCAGATACAGATCTAGGAGTTAAATCCAAGGGGGCAGTCCCTTACTGTCTTTAGGGCGTGCCTTTGTCAACATAGATCAAGTTGTCTGGGGGTAACCCCCTNCAGCATGTCTTTAGGGCGTGCCTTTGTCAACATAGATCAAGTTGTCTGGGGGTAACCCCCTCACAATTCTAACGATCTCTTAGCAAATACCAAATAAAACAGAGATTTTTGAAAACTTGTGGGGGCAGTCACTCCCCCTCCCTTCTGTAGATCCATCAATGACCAGAGGCTAACCAACTTTTACATGTTTACGATCCCTTGCAAAAGTTGATTAGGAAAATTATGAAGTATTTTACGTTTACTTCCATCTCAAACCGCCTCCAATAGAAGAGTCTCTTCTTGTAAACCTCATCTGGGCCCTATCCCCATGCTCTATCCCAACAAAAACGAAAACAGAAATAAAACACCAAAAAAGGGGAAGGCAAGAAATGGAGAATAAAGAGGAAGCAAGAGTAATAAAAAATAAAAAATAAAGTAGATCTAAATGTGCAGACGTCAAAGAGAAAGAAGGAAGAAAATGACATCCTTGAAAACAAGATTCATGAATATCTCTTCCATTCTTACTCCGACTAGAAAGTAGAAAATAATATGAGATACAAAAGGAATATGTCTTTACATATATTTGCCATCAACACAAAAGCTGAATGGCTGAAAAGAGGGTGCCAACTTTTGAAGAAAAAAAATATTCATTTTTTTCTGAACGGTGATAAATATAAGTTTCAGGTAGTTCTACTTGTAGCCATGTGCTTTATGTGTGTATCTTAATCAATTGTATTGTGCCCCTGTGGTCTAATAATCCCAATGCTTATCATTCCACCTTCCACTTCGATGAACCCGGTAGCCACTCAACCTTATTAAACTGTTCACATATTGTTCACCTTATTGTCATTCATCTAGATTGCAAGGAGAATCATGGAAGCAGACATAACGATGAATTAAATCGATTTTGATGATTGATAGGAAAAAAGGAATGGATTAAAGGAGAACAGAAAATAAAAAGAAAATTGAAAGAACCACATATTTAGCAGTTCTAGTGCCAGAAAAAATTATATCATCATCTAAAGGTGCAAATTGACATACGCCAGCTGTGCATACCTTGATACAGTCGTAGAAGTGAGGAGAAATATCTTTGTCAAAACTCTCAGATAGTTTGAAATAGATAACAAGGCTCATGCCTTCTCCATCGCTATCAC